CGAAATCCTCAAAAAATTATGCAGTTAGACACTGAAATCGCTCAGAAAAGTAAGCCATATATAAGCAAATCACAACTGCCCGTTGAGACTGTCAAACCAATATATATGGAGAAATCACTACTTCACAGCCAAGTAGGAAGTTTGTGGTTCCTAACTGGTTACTACCGAGTGATCAACCAGTGCGCCCATTACAGTCAATGAAGTCTCGAATAGATCAGTGTTAATGTCTTCGACTACAGTAGTGGTTGATACCGCTTCAAATATCAGAAGGGTTATGAACAGTTTCAGAAAATGCACACAAGCCTTGCTGGTAAACGCCAACATGCACAAAATTTAATAATAATAATGATAATAATTTGCTTTATTCCAAAACGGTACTTGTGATACACAAGGGAATTCTCAGTATTTTTACTACAGTATTGCATCCAGTTAGTACATTAACAATAAATAAAAATCCACATAGATTAAGGAAATCTCAGTTCATTATGACAACAACATATTGGCATGTCGGTAGCAAAGGTAAAGCTAAACAGTGTTTGAAGGTGTTAGAAAAGTAGGTGCTATCATATTTACTGGCGTAAGCGAGAGAAAGAAACAAAGCAGCATATAACGGAAAAAGAGAGAGAGAGGAAAAGGAAAAGAAGAAAGAAAATGTTGTGCCTATAAATGATATGAGTTGGAAAGACGAGATCCAGTTGTTCTACTGACTATTTATTAATTTATAGGTATCATGCCTAATGCTTTCTTTATCGCACAGAACACGAGCTAGGTAGGGTATGGTTGAGTTTTTGTACTTGCTGGTGCGATCATATAGTTTTCTATATTGGCTTCTGGTCTTCCCTGATGAGATGCAAGGGTAGAGTTGTGAGTGAAGAGAGTGGTGTGAGTTAGATAAAGTGGATTTGGCCCATTTTTCACTTGAGTCCAAGTGCCTGTCGACCAGAATATTAACAAGCTGGTTAAGTGGCACATTGATTATCCTGCTGACAACCTTTAACATCCTGCGTAATAAGATATAGTCTTTCTTCAGTAGCCCAGGAAAAACTAAGGGGGAACAATAGAGAATAATAGGCAGAATGGGAGAGTTAATGAATTGTAGGAGTAAGGGTTGGGTTATACCAGAATGTTTTAACTTGTTGATGTAGACGGTAAGACGGAATATTTTCTTAGAAATCGCCAAGATATGAAACGACCAGGAGAGATCAGCAGATAGAATGACACCTAGGTATTTAATTTCCGACTTGGCTTCTATTTCAGTGCCATCTATGTTGCACACCTCGTGAGAGCTAATCAGTTTGTTTAGGTCGGATTTATGCCTAAAGGTGAGAGGTCCAGAGAATCCTGTCAATCGTCTTCAACCATCCGAAAACTGAATATCACATAAATTAAGGAAAACAATGCGATATTTGTGAATTTATAGGTTCCACTGCTAGACAGGGTAGCAATAGCGGCTGGATCTGTTTCTCCTCTAATCAGAGTTCCGGTTGTTTTAATCGAATTGTAATGACTTCTGATGCTTCTGAGTATATGGTATCTAGAGGCTTTCGACAATTTATCTAGCACCGGACAGATGATAGAAAAATATTATCCAACACTAGCTCTGTGGTATATTTGAACTAAATATCCTTATTATCGGAATATTTGTGCTTTTTATAAGAGACTGGTAGCTGTTCCCAAGCACAAAAAATTAAGTTCCTAAACGATTAGCCAATATAACTGGCTCTACAGGGTCAGCCAACTTGACAGATACGTTTAAGCTTCATTGTCCACAGAGGCACGCACCTTCGTAAAGGTTAATCTGATAGGTATTTTAAAAGTGGGCAGTATAAACAATTGTACTTCGTAGGCTGATATATATATAATGCAATATGCTAACTGGTATTAGATGGTTGGAGGCAATCGGCAGGAAGCCTTGGACCTAGGTCCAAGGCTTCCTGCCGATTGCCTCCAACCATCTAATACCAACAATTCACAGTGCACCGTAATGTCGAGCCACCTAGCATGGTGGCCACATTGCAAACATGACTGATAGAATTCAGTCTGCACCGAAAATAGGACTAGACACATTACACTAGTTACTGACTAGTGTGCAATCAAAAATATGCTAACTAGTTAAAGGCATTAAATCACTCGCCTGAGTTTCTATTCTCAATACGAATCCCTTTGAGATTTGATTAAACAAAGCTACTTTACACCGGGCAGGGAAGAGATACGTTAAATAGGTAAATAGGTAATCTGCCTCCTAAGTAGAAGATTGTGGGTTCGACTGTCGCCGTGAGTGTGGCTTTTGTGCGTCGGTCGCATGGCGGTTAGGGCTCTCGCCGACCATGCACATGGTCCGGGGTTCGATTCCCTGCCGACGCACACCTGATATCAATGGTCGGCCTGCAAAGTTGATGTAAAAATCCTTCAAACATTTGGAAACTTTTCAATAAACTTACAAGTAAAAAACAAATCTCTGTTGATGCTTATTCTGATGTTAATGCTTTAAACAAATCATTTATCATGAAACAAATTAATATGGTTGTACCTGATTTACCTAGTCAAGATAATGGTCATTTTCCGGGTTTTAAAGAAGAGGATGTACTATTATGTTTAAAATCTTTAAATCCAACACACAGCCTTTGTCCAGATGGTGTACCAGGCATTCTTCTTCAAAAATGTGCAGACATCTTGTGTCATCCTCTTACTCAAATCTTTAATGTATCATTTAACAAGGAAACGGTACCTGCTGACTGGAAAGAAATCAAGGTTGTACCTGTACAGGAATCATCTTCTGGAGCAGGTATAAAGTTTAGACCGGTCGCTATAACATCTCTTTTTTTGAAAACTATGGAGAAACTTCTTTTGAATATTCTTAAACCTTCTTTAAAAGCTTTTAGTGACCCTAAGCAGTTTGCTTATAAGTGTGGAAGAAGTACATTAGATGCAGCCATTGTACTACACCACAATATTGTTTCCTGCCTTGATAAGGGTGCTAAGTTCGTTCGAACAGCTTTTTTAGACTATACTGCAGCTTTCGACTCTGTTCCTAGGACACTTTTATTAGAAGAGATGATTTCAGCACAAACAGAGTCCTGGGCAACTAGATGGCTGTCTTCTTATTTTAAGGATAGGAAACAGCATACTGTTTTGGCTGGAAAGCTCTCCACTTCTCAGCTAACTGAAAGTGGTGTGCCTCAAGGTGCAGTACTTTCTCCATTTCTTTTCTCTTTCTTTTTGCATGACCTTCCGAACTCACCCAAAGTTAACTTCATTAAGTATGCTGATGATCTGACCGTTTCTGTCCCTGTAGTTTCCACATCGAATTGTTCCCATATGAATGGCTTCTTAGCTGAAGTTAAGGATTGGTCTGGCTCAAATGGTCTTAAACTAAATCCAACTAAGTGTAATACTGTTGATTTCAGCTTGAGAAGTGAAAAGACATGCATGGATTGATCCAATCTCATGATTGTTGTAATATTGATGGTACCATGATAGAGAGTAAGTCAAGTGTTTCTCATCTTAGCATTAGTTTCTCTTCAAACCTCTGCTGGTCGTCTCATATTCTTATAGTTTCTAAGAAAGTTTTCCGTCTGACTTATTACATAAAGAAGTTGAGGCACTCAGGTATAACCCAATCTCTTCTCATACAATTTATTAATTCATGTGTTTTGCTCATCATTCTTTATTGTTCTCCATTATTCTTCCCTGGGCTACTCAAGGAAGACCATATAATACTACGAAGAACATTGAAGGCTGTAAGTAGGGTCAGTGCTATCCCTTTGACTCAACTAACCGACACTGTTGTCAATAGGCACATGAATTCTTGTAAACACTTAGCTAAAGTTATCTTGTCTGATAGTGAACATCCCCTTTATTCACATTTGTTTCCTTGTATCTCTTCGGGTAAGACCAGAAGAAATTTCATAAACATTTATGCTCGTACTACAAAATATAAAAATTCGACCGTACTATATTTGGCACGAGTATTGTGTGAAGAGACGAATATCAGAAAAGAACTTTTACAACTTCTAAATCATTAACTAAACTAAAAAATGTAATGATGTATATTATTGCATGTGTGATTTGTTATATTATTTATTTATTATTCACTATGACCTAGAAATGGTGTGATTTTGTTGGGGTTTTATTTTTTCCTATTAACTATCAATATTTTAACATTTTATATACATTTATATAATTATAAACAGAGCCAAACCATTGCAATATGTAAAAGAAACGCTGAAAATTCCATGCTGTAAATTGTTATTGTTGTGGAATAAAGTGTTTATTATTATTATTTAAAAAAAGTTTGGGCTAACGATACCACATGCTGAAAATTCCATACTTGTATCAAAAAAACAGTGTGAAATCAAGCTATAATCAAAGAAAACTAGATATCCCAATCATTTTATTCGTGGAAGGCTGAACTAAGTCTGTTTGAAAACACTGACAGTCACTGAAGTACCAACGAGTTCCACGTGGGTGGGGAAATGCATTTCATGTATTCCATTGCCAGCTGACACCAGCTGAATGACATTCCACGCATACTCACACACACACTTAAATCGACTATTTACAGGATTCCATCATGAGCTGACATTGATTAGAGAACCCCTGGAAAACCTGGGAGTACTAGACAGCTGTTTCGTCCCAGTTTGAGACTCTTCATCAGTACGCACGCACCGGGGTTCGAACACAGGACCCTCTGGTTACAAGGCGAGCTCCTAGACCATTAAGCCACTGGGACCTGATTCAATGGTCGATGAATTCTAACTTCTGCCCATTCACGATATGGCGCAATGGTTCCAATGGTTCGCTAACCAATGTCAGCTCATGATAGAATCCTGTAACCAATCAACCAAATCCCTACAAACCAATACTTACATATAAATCGACTATATGGATTTTGAAGCAAACTAGAGAATCTCTTCACTCAACTGGTTATTTTGCAGTTACTGTAATCTGATTACATGACTAACTACCCATTGTCTTTCTTTCTTTTTTTATGCCTACAGGTCATAATATTTTTGATGGCTGGTATGATATATAAAGAGAACAATTGAATAACAGACTGTCTATTGCTTCTTTTGTTCTTCAGAATTGTTTATTATATTGACACATAATCACGACATTTTCATTATCGGGTCTTTCACTACAGATTACACATCCTAACTATGTTGTCCTTCTGTACTAAATTCAATACACATATGTTTTTGTACGCGTGTGCCCATTTGTGAGTGTGTGTGTCTGTCAGCAGATTTTTCCGTGAAATATTCTGAAAATATTGATTTTAGTTTAAAAAAATAAAAGATCATCGTTTAATTCTGTCTTGGGTTTTGTTGTTCATGCCATTTTTATGACCCCATTGTCTGTAAACAGTCCATGTTGCTTGGTTCTAATAAGGACAGTTCGGTGTAAGACAGTGTCATAACCGCTGAACGAATCTCAACGGTATCTGCATATTTCCTATTCTGGCATTCACCAACTAGCTTCATAGTTGATCCAGGCATATTGTTCGGTTGCTATGCAGCATTTTGTTCTGTCATTCTTTATCACTATGAGGCATGGCTAGTGAATGAATGTAGTGGTATGATGAAACTAGCCACCTTCAACCAAAAGTGCGTTTGCGTTCAATATTCATGAAAAATTCCCATTCGAACATTAATAGCGAGAAGACAAGTAGCTCAGCGAAGAGTCTTTTCTCGGCGAATTCATTTTCATAGCTGTACAGTCGCAAATATATGCATGGTTATTTTGTATGTGTGCATATGTACATTCAATTGGTCAAACGAAAATACAATTAATAAGTTCAGATGAATTGGATGTTGATATGAGAGAGTAGTAACAAAAGTGATGAGTTGTCACAAACGATTGTTAAGGAAGAGTTACGTGATGGCGTGAATAGTTTGATGAAAGAATTGTGGTCATGGAGTACATGGAAACAAAATATACGAAATTACACAAGGATTTTGAGTAGAAAAATAAGCATACAAGCAAAAGTTAAGTCAAATCAAACAAACAAACAAAAGTTTAGTCAAGTCAACGGAGTTGTTACCATGGGAGTAGAAGTGGTTGAATAATTTCCTTTTGTTTCTCCACTCGACCCATTACTAGCAGACTGCTTCATGGCAATCCCCGAGAACGGCCCACTCAAATCAACTCTTGACTATTTCCAACTGTATGTTAGATATATGGACGAAATCTTTACTATCTGTGATGACGGTCACGACCTCAATCAGTCACTGTAAATATTCAACAAATGCCATCCAGCCACAAAGTTCGCTCTTGAAATTGAAAACGAATCTAAAATCCCTTTTCTTGATGTTGAACTTACAAGGAGAGCTGACGGAACTTTGAGAAGGTCCATCCATAGGAAACCCCCATGTAACGGCCATCTGACAAGCTTCTACAGCTGGGTACCAATCAGTCGGAAAAGAAACCTAATTAGATCTCTTGCCACTCGCGTCCGACGCATCTGCAGCTCTGATACCATGGAAGAAGAACAAGACTTCCTGAAAGAAACCTTCATACAAAACGGTTACCTATCAAGATTTGTAGACAAAAACATCAAACAAAAAATCCGAAAGCAAGAAACAGCATCTGTGCCAAAAAAGATACTTTATATGAACCTCAACTTCAAAGGAGACCTACTCAGTGACGTCCTTAGAAGGAAAATCTCCACCTCTTTAAGAAGAATTTTCCTTGCAGCAACATTGAGAGTAGTGTTCTCCAGTCGCCCGCTGATCTGAAAAAGCCGAAAGGAAAAGATCCCAGCACCTGACCACTTCTGTGTGCATATATCAGTTCACCTGTTGCTGTGGAGCCAGGTACATCGGTCGTTCCACGCACATCCTGTCAAAAACGGCCAAAGAACACTATCCAGCGTGGCCGCAGAAAGGAAGTAACACCTCGTCAACACTGGTCATTCCATCTCAACAAACGCCTCCTTCAAAGTAATCTAAAAGGGAAGAACGACCTTCCAAAGACAGTACGGTTCCGTCTTCTTTGTATCTCAGAAGCCCTAGCCATTCATTTAGAGGAACCAGAACTGTGCATACAAAAGAAAATTATTCAACCACTTCTACTCCCATGGTAACAACTCCGTTGACTTGACTAAACTTTTGTTTGTATGCTTATTTTTCTACTCAAAATCCTTGTGTAATTTCGTATATTTTGTTTCCATGTACTCCATGACCACAATTCTTTCATCAAACTATTCACGCCATCACGTAACTCTTCCTTAACAATCGTTTGTGACAACTCATCACTTTTGTTACTACTCTCTCATATCAACATCCAATTCATCTGAACTTATTAATTGTATTTTCGTTTGACCAATTGAATGTACATATGCACACATACAAAATAACCATGCATATATTTGCGACTGTACAGCTATGAAAATGAATTCGCCGAGAAAAGACTCTTCGCTGAATTACTTGTCTTCTGCGTTCGATATCTCATATTAACAGGTACCGAAACCTGACATCAATCCTTTCCATTCGAGTCTGTTTTAAAGGAGTAGAATATCTGACTTATATCCCCGAAACGCTAAGAACCAGCTACTGCAGACTTTTGGTGATATAAGTGAAAATAATTCACAAAGGCACAGACGAATTCCTTGATTTTGCTAGGAAAAACAACAAAAGCAAAGTAGTTGTTGAAACTTTTATTCTTATGTTTACTAAATTCAAAACCCTTACGTATTTCATTTATAGACACGTAAATGAAATTTCCGCGCAACTCACCCTTATTCAGAGTGCATGTATGTATGCAGGAGGAAGTTGAGTTCCCTGAGCAAACCAGATATCTGAGCTGAAAAGTGATCATTATTGTACAATTTGAAGTTGTTAACTGTTAACTTTAGTCTCCATTTCTTACAACGCGACAAAGATGAGGATTGCAAAGGAAAGCAGGATCTGATCCGTAAATCAAGACTGTGAAGTCACCGTAGATGTTTATAACACTCAGCACGAGGAACTAGGTCCGAATTCCCAACATTGTGTTATCAAATCGGTGATTCTGTATGACTCACAGACTAGGCGAGCATTTCCAACAGATCTTCATGAAAAGCAGCCTTTACTGGATACTGAAGATCAGGTGGCCAGAAAGGATAGGCAATAAGGAACTGTGTTAGAGGGATAGGAGACGGATCGAACGTATGCTGAGGAGACCCTCGAGTGACATTATGTGCCAAGCTCTCAAGCGGATTTCGAATGGTAAACGACAGGTTGAGAGTAAGTACTCCTGACATAGAAGAAATCGTGTGAGATGGGAACCAAAGCTTATGGGCAATCGTGGAGTGAACAAAGGGCAAAGTGAAATGATGATGTGCTGCTGAAGCCCTATGTTCCATTTGGATCCTAAGGGAATAATAATAGAAAAGTAAACCACATCTCTTGTTATATGTTACAGACCTACTGTAAGATCAATTCAATTCCCTTCCTTGAATCAAGTCAACCTGTCCCGGATCAGCATAGCGTTGTTGCAACCCAATTATCCATGCCTAAAGTGTCTATCCCCCCTTTTTTAATGAACTGTGTGTGTCTTTTTTTACATCAGTCCGTTTAGTCAGACCGTTGAACTCATGACCCAATCAGAGTATTTTGCGAATTGTTATTTTTGCTGATCCATGTCTTACTTTGTATTATTCTGTCGAGTTTATCTTATTTATTGATCTTCATCTGTATCAGCCTACCTGGTTAAATAGACAATTAAATTCTCTCTTTGTGCCTATGCTCTGTCTATCTCTTAACCGCTCTCTGTTCTATGCCCTGCCTTACTTGGGTTCATTCTTCTACTGACTGCTTACCTGAACGGTCGTGTCTGATTCCGGCTAGTTCGCAATTTTCGCTTTAACGTTATTCCTCTCTGATAGCGGTACCTTGCTTTCAGTTAAGCGTTGTGCTTTGTACTCTTGAAACCGTTAACGTTTGTTGTACATATAATTATTGCTTTATTTATTAATACTACCGTAGAAACAGTGACCGGCTTCTTGTTTGTTCTGGACCGGGATAGCCTTTATCTACGCGTGACTTAATTTCAGGTGGCTAGACCAATTTTTCATTTTTTTCATTTTGTCTATTCCATTTGTATTCTCTTCCTTATTAAGTCAATTGTTACTATTACTACTCTCACTTTTAATTGTCCCCGGTATTATTTCACTTGTTCTACTTGTCATTCTAAATCAATTCCTTTTTACAATATTAAATTCTGTGCTATTAAATTTCACACAATATTACGTAACGTTTTTATTTTATTCGATTTGTCTACTAATCCTATAATTGCCCACCCTTTTTCAAGTTCTATCCATCCTATGAATAATTCTTTATATGGCATTAATTGTTTTGCCACTTGATATTTAATTATGATTATAATCACAAACATTTTAGTTTTAATTGCATTTCATACTACTATTATTATTTTATGCATTCACACCTATGATTCAATTCCCTCACCGGATATAACTTCTTAATAAAACCATATATATATACGATTGTACAGCTTGATAATAAATTCGTTGAAAAGAGTCTCTTCGCTGAATCACCACTTGTTTTGATTTTCCAAATGTTACAATGGGATTTTTCCATTCATCTCCATTTTATTCTCACATCTGACTTCATTTGGTTTATTCATGAGTCTGTGGATTTATTTGCACAAAAGAGCGTCTACTAAGGTGCTGTTCTGCTGTTTTTGCCTTTTTTTGTTGCAACCGGAACGCACAAACGAAGATATGTAGGAATTATTCCATTTTCCAAAGCACCGATAATTAAAGCTACGATGATTTGTAGATCTTACTTCTATTTGTGATAGTTGTACAAGTTCCTTGATTAGCCCTGGAACAACAAGACCATAAGTGTCACTGATTGTTAGAGTATGGTTTCGTCACTGTGGTAGAGTATCAATTCTAATGAGATTATACTCCACCACAGTGCCTAAATTATACTCTTACATTATTTGATAGTTCATTTGCTTAGGTGGCGATGCTTCGTGTATAATGGTATAGCTGTTATATACTGACCGGCAGTTCCACTAAAAGTTAAATTCATAGTACATTTTCGAAGGAGGAAGGTGTAGCAACACTCATTTGTCCTATTCCTCGGTGATAGTCCCACTCAAATATGATTTTTCTTCTCTTGGGTTAGGAGGAAATTCAATGGAATCCAGTCACTAGTGTTGTCTCTTCGGAAGTTATTATTAGCATTGTTTCTAGAAGAAAGTTAAGCGGCTACAGAGTTCCAGTTTCTTTTTGTATTTCCACGATT